CTGATTCAAACTCTCCAGGATCATGTGAAATGTTAGCAGTCTTGAAGTATTCTTTATGTTCAGTGTCTGCTTCTTTGGTTATAGATAAAATCTGCACACTTCAATGTGCTGATAAGTTCAGTCAGTAACCGACGTTCACACTCCATGTATACTGTTTAGTTCAGTTTACTTACACTCAATGTATACAGTTTAGTTCAGTTTACTCACACTCCATGTATACTGTTTAGTTCAGTTTACTTACACTCCATGTATACAGTTTAGTTCAGTTTACTCACACTCCATGTATACTGTTTAGTTCAGTTTACTCCCACTCCATGTATACTGTTTAGTTCAGTTTACTCACACTCCATGTATACTGTTGAGTTCAGTTTACTCTGTCCAGTAAACTGATTAGTTCAGTTTACTCTGTCGTGTATACTGTTGAGTTCAGTTTTCTCTGTCCTGTATACTGGTGAGTTCAGTTTACTCTGTCGTGTATACTGTTGAGTTCAGTTTTCTCTGTCGTGTATACTGTTGAGTTCAGTTTACTCTGTCGTGTATACTGTTGAGTTCAGTTTACTCTGTCGTGTATACTGTTGAGTTCAGTTTACTCTGTCATGTATACTGTTGAGTTCAGTTAACTCTTGTCTTGTATACTGTTGAGTTCAGTTTACTCGCATACCATGTATAGTGATGAGTTCAGTTTACTCTGTCCTGTATACTGTTGAGTTCAGTTTACTCGCATACCATGTATAGTGATTAGTTCAGTTTACTCTGTCCTGTATAATGTTGAGTTCAGTTTACTCTGTCGTGTATACTGTTGAGTTCAGTTTTCTCAATCATGTATACTGTTGAGTTCAGTTAACTCTTGTCTTGTATACTGTTGAGTTCAGTTTACTCGCATCCATGTATAGTGATGAGTTCAGTTTACTCTGTCGTGTATACTGATGAGTTCAGTTAACTCTTGTCTTGTATACTGTTGAGTTCAGTTTACTCTGTCCAGTATACTGTTGAGTTCAGTTAACTCTGTCATGTATAGTGATGAGTTCAGTTAACTTTGTCTTGTATACTGTTGAGTTCAGTTTTCTCTGTCCTGTATACTGGTGAGTTCAGTTTACTCTGTCATGTATACTGTTGAGTTCAGTTTTCTCTGTCCTGTATACTGGTGAGTTCAGTTTTCTCTGTCGTGTATACTGTTGAGTTCAGTTTACTCTGTCCTGTATAATGTTGAGTTCAGTTTACTCTGTCGTGTATACTGTTGAGTTCAGTTTTCTCTGTCCTGTATACTGTTGAGTTCAGTTTACTCTGTCGTGTATACTGTTGAGTTCAGTTTTCTCTGTCCTGTATACTGTTGAGTTCAGTTTTCTCTGTCCTGTATACTGTTGAGTTCAGTTTACTCTGTCGTGTATACTGTTGAGTTCAGTTTACTCTGTCGTGTATACTGTTGAGTTCAGTTTACTCTGTCATGTATACTGGTGAGTTCAGTTTTCTCTCTCATGTATACTGTTGAGTTCAGTTTACTCTGTCCTGTATACTGTTGAGTTCAGTTTACTCGCATACCATGTATAGTGATTAGTTCAGTTTACTCTGTCCTGTATAATGTTGAGTTCAGTTTACTCTGTCCAGTATACTGTTGAGTTCAGTTTTCTCAATCATGTATACTGTTGAGTTCAGTTAACTCTTGTCTTGTATACTGTTGAGTTCAGTTTACTCGCATACCATGTATAGTGATGAGTTCAGTTTACTCTGTCGTGTATACTGATGAGTTCAGTTAACTCTTGTCTTGTATACTGTTGAGTTCAGTTTACTCTGTCCAGTATACTGTTGAGTTCAGTTAACTCTGTCATGTATAGTGATGAGTTCAGTTAACTTTGTCTTGTATACTGTTGAGTTCAGTTTTCTCTGTCCTGTATACTGGTGAGTTCAGTTTAGTCTGTCATGTATACTGGTGAGTTCAGTTTACTCTGTCCTGTATACTGGTGAGTTCAGTTTACTCTGTCATGTATACTGTTGAGTTCAGTTTTCTCTGTCCTGTATACTGGTGAGTTCAGTTTACTCTGTCGTGTATACTATTGAGTTCAGTTTACTCTGTCGTGTATACTATTGAGTTCAGTTTTCTCTGTCCTGTATACTGGTGAGTTCAGTTTACTCTGTCATGTATACTGGTGAGTTCAGTTTTCTCTGTCCTGTATACTGATTAGTTCAGTTTACTCTGTCGTGTATACTGTTGAGTTCAGTTTTCTCTGTCCTGTATACTGGTGAGTTCAGTTTTCTCTGTCGTGTATACTGTTGAGTTCAGTTTACTCTGTCATGTATACTGGTGAGTTCAGTTTTCTCTGTCCTGTATAATGTTGAGTTCAATTAACTCTGTCCTGTATACTGGCGAGTTCAGTTTTCTCTGTCCTGTATAATGTTGAGTTCAATTAACTCTGTCCTGTATACTGGTGAGTTCAGTTTTCTCTGTCCTGTATAATGTTGAGTTCAGTTCACTCTGTCCTGTATACTGGTGAGTTCAGTTTACTCTGTCCTGTATACTGGTGAGTTCTGTTAACTCTGTCGTGTATACTGGTGAGTTCAGTTAACTCTGTCATGTATACTGTTGAGTTCAGTTTTCTCTGTCATGTATACTGTTGAGTTCTGTTTATTCTGTCATGTATACTGTTGAGTTCAGTTTAGTCTGTCGTGTATACTGGTGAGTTCAGTTTTTTCTGTCCTGTATACTGGTGAGTTCAGTTTTCTCTGTCCTGTATACTGTTGAGTTCAGTTTAGTCTGTCGTGTATACTGGTGAGTTCAGTTTTTTCTGTCCTGTATACTGTTGAGTTCAGTGAAGATGATTGCCTTCTGGCCTAGTTCCTCAAAGCTTTGTTAGAGTTAACCAATTTGAACAGCTGTAGATTTGTTGAGACAGGTCATTTTGATATTATTTTGAGTGTCAATTCTAATTCTTTTTTGCAGTGGTAACAATTCCAATTTTCACTTATCATGGATTAACTCTAACCAAACTTAAAGCAACTGGGGCTTGGTGGCCATTGGGATTTTGACATTTAACACTTGTTGGTGCAAAGATAAAAGAAAAAATTTTCTTTAGAGTCTTTCATCTTCATATTCTTTTTTGTGTGACACAGTGTCTGGATGAAGTGGTGGACAGTTTCGGTCAAGAGACTTTTCAAGTGTTAAAAAAGCATATTAGCTTGTGAATAAACTTAGCTTTATTGTTACTTTACATCCTGTTATTAACAACAAAGGTTATTTAAGGATGTGCCAGATTTGGATAGTGTAGGAAAGCCCTGGTTTCCAGAGAAAAATCACCGACCGGTCGCTAGTATCTGGTGACTGTGCCACGTAACCTTTTCACAGCGACTTAAAGGTGGATGGCTTGTGATGAAGACAGACGTCTTAACCCTTTGGCCTTTACATGTCCTTGACCTTTAATATGTAACCACAGATAGCAAATATAACTGCAGAATGAAACAAAATTGTTACGACAAAAAAATTTAAAAAGTCTCCTCTGTTTAAGTGATTTTACTTGCAATATTATTAACAACCAAACACATTGAAATATAAAGTTTCTCAGCTGACCATAAAGACACAGTACCAGGAAAAGTCTGACTTATTTACTCAGAATATACTTGTATGAAAGCAGAAATACCCTGGTGCACACAATACCACAAGTACAAAATGGACATACAGACATTCTCACTCCATTCTACCAATAGCTCAGCTACGTTTCACACTTCTGTGTATTTGTGTTACTATTAAGGGACATTCATAGCTTGATATAATCCTCACTCTAGCTTTGGTAGTAAAATAGGCTGATAAACTTGTAGCTCTGTTTAGCACCAAAGCAGTTATAAGGTAACAACATTAATATTGTGTATAGACTTCAATTAAACATTTATATATTTCATCACAATGGGCAATACTGCTGATCTTGTCCCCACTCAGCAGAGCAAGGACATTTACACAAGGTATAGACATGTCAAAGTATACAAACATTGTATATTATCATCTGCAACCTAGAAATGTAGCAAAGTTCGAAACAACGGCATCTGAATTATATGTTATAGTTTGTTTAGTAATTGTCAGTACCAGCGTGTCCAGTAATTGTATGTACTAGTTTGTACAGTAATTGTATGTACCAGTTTATACAGTAATTGTATGTACCAGTTTATACAGTAATTGTATGTACTAGTTTGTACAGTAATTGTATATACTAGTTTGTACAGTAATTGTATGTACCAGTTTGTACAGTAATTGTATGTACCAGTTTGTACAGTAATTGTATGTACTAGTTTGTACAGTAATTGTATGTACCAGTTTATACAGTAATTGTATGTACTAGTTTGTACAGTAATTGTATGTACCAGTGTGTCCAGTAATTGTATGTACTAGTTTGTACAGTAATTGTATGTACTAGTTTGTACAGTAATTGTATGTACCAGTTTATACAGTAATTGTATGTACTAGTTTGTACAGTAATTGTATATACTAGTTTGTACAGTAATTGTATGTACTTGTCTGTACAGTAATTATATGTACTATGGAGTACAGTAAATGTATGTACTATGGAGTACAGTAATTGTATGTACTATGTAGTACAGTAATTGTATGTACTAGTTTGTACAGTAATTGTATGTACTATGGAGTACAGTAAATGTATGTACTATGGAGTACAGTAATTGTATGTACTATGGAGTACAGTAATTGTATGTACCAGTTTGTACAGTAATTGTATGTACTATGTAGTACAGTAATTGTATGTACTATGTAGTACAGTAATTGTATGTACTAGTTTGTACAGTAATTGTAGTTTGTACAGTAATTGTATGTACTATGGAGTACAGTAATTGTATGTACTATGTAGTACAGTAATTGTATGTACTATGTAGTACAGTAATTGTATGTACTATGTAGTACAGTAATTGTATGTACTATGTAGTACAGTAATTGTATGTACTATGTAGTACAGTAATTGTATGTACTAGTTTGTACAGTAATTGTATGGAGTACAGTAGTACTATGGAGTACAGTAATTGTATGTACTATGTAGTACAGTAATTGTATGTACTATGTAGTACAGTAATTGTATGTACTATGTAGTACAGTAATTGTATGTACTAGTTTGTACAGTAATTGTACGTACTATGGAGTACAGTAATTGTATGTACGAGTTAGTATTATATAGCCTTGGCAGCTTTATATGTAGTTTATACCTGTATATACCTGGATACAGCTAACACACATCATGAGTTTTATAGACAATATATCAAATTATTAACAGTACTCATCAGTTATTTTTGGTAGATAATTAGTGAAGTTATCATGAAATTATGAAGAATGGATCACTGAAACATTTCTATACCTGTATAATACAAGTATTTATATGTCCCAACTTAAGCAATTGAGATCAATTCTACAAATAATTTTCACTCGGGTCTTGTCACTCATAGGTATAAATCATTATCTACCAATCTTCTCATCAGTAGAATCTTCACCCTAGCCCTACATACCATGATAGATATATTGCTTCTTTTACAGTTCTCATCACTATAAATAATAACATTCACTCTTTCCTTGTCATTTATACAATATTACTTTCCACACAAATCTATCACATCATAATTTGACATTTTATACACAATTACTCAACTAAAATAAAAACAACTTGCATGAACACACAGGCATGTGCACTTTTGACATTTGGCAAAATGAGTATCATGTCTTTCTCTGTCTAAATTATATATGTGAGAACAAACAGTAACTCCACCAACATATTCAAATATCACTTAATTAATGCACGATAAAAGTTACCTTCACCTTAAATATATGAATACATATGCATTTTAAAAAAAGCTATGTTATGAAATATTTTGTCTTTTCTCGAAACCATCATAGAACTTAGTGTCATGAATTCTACATCATGGAAATAGAACAAAGGAATCAAAGCACTCTGAGAGAGGAACTCTATTGAACCGATTACAGATCCATTCTAGGAGACTACCACAGAGTTCGACATACAGAGTGTTGGATCACCAATCTATTATCATGATTCTACATCATGAACATATCATAAGAACCTGGACTTTAATCATTTCTCCTGTTTAAATAATTACTTATTGAATTGGCCATTGATCCTTATGATATTTCATTTAGTCGTTATCTTTTTGTTTATACACACACACACAAGCAATAAAGATATTCTCCATTCTCGACTCTCATTCAATGGCAAGACTTCAACATAGGGTTAAATGTACAGGACTATTGAAACCTTATTGATTTCAACAACATCTCTGATTCTTCTGTCCATGCAGTACTTCTTCTGTCCATGTACTTTATCCAATATCCATTACATATGAATAATATCAAGCAATTATTTTATAGCAGAAACACAAGTCCTTCATAAATCAAAATGTCAACTTTCTCTGGAATATTTGGTTAATGCCAATGTCTACATCCTAAGAGCTGTCGACTTGAGTTGTATAAAATACAACAATGAGTTGTAAATTCTGCGGTGTGGACACTGAAACGATAACCTGCACTGCCACACAAAGCCTTTGATGGTGCTGCAACAGTCACATCTGCTGGTGATGTTCCACAAAGTTCTTTTCCCAGATCATCAGACTGATAAACTTAATGCTGTACTATATATTCCCTTCAGATGACCAGTTCAGACTTGGTTATTTCTGATGACCAAACTGAAGCACTGAGTGATATTAACACTATGTTTCAGGTTGTCATCATAAGTCTAGAGCTAGCGTGTCTTTTAGAAGCTTTCTCATTGTAGTTCCTACAGAGGTGGGCATTGGTCCTGTCGTCTGATGGGAAATCTACAATGGTACAACACATTAAAAGGAAAGATGTCACAAATAACAATATCAACAAGGACACTGAGTATTGCTAAAGGAATACATGTTCCCTTCCAGCCCCACAAACTATCACACTTCACTAAAAAGGACACTGAGTATTGCTAAAGGAATACATGTTCCCTTCCAGCCCCACAAACTATCACACTTCAATAACAAGGACACTGAGTATTGCTAAAATAATGCATGTTCCCTTCCAGCCCCACAAACTATCACACTTCAATAACAAGGACACTGAGTATTGCTAAAATAATGCATGTTCCCTTCCAGCCCCACAAACTATCACACTTCAATAACAAGGACACTGAGTATTGCTAAAATAATGCATGTTCCCTTCCAGCCCCACAAACTATTACACTACAACGATTTATGAAGATGGTGCTCTTTATAAAACTCAAGAATTATTCAAGATATTTCAGTGTTTTGAAAGTGTGTGAAGTTTGATGAAAACCCCTTAAGAAGAGATGTAGCTAAATTGCTGACAATGACTTCCTAAAACTAGTAACAGTGACCTTGACCTTTGTCCAACAACCCTGAAATTTGATCTTTTCAAGAATGATATGGTTGTTTGAAAGCAAGTTAGGTTTGAACAAAATCCCATGATATTACACTTTTCTTCTTTTAAAGAATGTATGAATATAAGAAAATGAGAACAATGACTGACCTTGAATAGGTAGGGTTGAACATCTCTGTAACTTGTGTCAAATATCAGGTCCAGCTCGGATTGGTTAGGCATTTTGGGGACATATTCATGGCGATTCATGGCTTCTGCTACATGCATCACCTTCTCAGCGAGAATTTCACCCAGCTTTTCCCTACATACTTGTCTCTCTGTGTCAGCGAAAAAGACTCATTACTATGATGTCACAGAGAGGTTAACACATTACTATGGTGTCAAAGGGTCGCATATAACAATGGAGTCAGAGAGGGTTACACATTACTGTGGTGTCAGAGAGGGTTATACATTACTGTGGTGTCAGAGAGGGTTATACATTACTGTGGTGTCAGAGAGGGTTAAACATTACTGTGGTGTCAGAGAGGGTTATACATTACTGTGGTGTCAGAGAGGGTTAAACATTACTGTGGTGTCAGAGAGGGTTAAACATTACTGTGGTGTCAGAGAGGGTTATACATTACTGTGGTGTCAGAGAGGGTTACACATTACTGTGGTGTCAGAGAGGGTTACACATTACTGTGGTGTCAGAGAGGGTTACACATTACTGTGGTGTCAGAGAGGGTTATACATTACTGTGGTGTCAGAGAGGGTTATACATTACTGTGGTGTCAGAGAGGGTTATACATTACTGTGGTGTCAGAGAGGGTTAAACATTACTGTGGTGTCAGAGAGGGTTATACATTACTGTGGTGTTATTGGGTAGCTATTTTACAATGATTGTGAAAATGCTAGTTCTTACATTTACATTATTTTACACAATTTTTATGAAACTCCTTTGTTCTATGGGTAAATGCCATTCTTTGATTAAAATGTCATTTTTGTGTATGTATGCTTGTGAAGGGTTTGATGGCATGAACCTCTTCATCCACAGGTTATATGGTAACATGTACAGATGATGTGGCCACTCAAAGTAATTCTCGTTAGTCATTAACTCGAAATACAATGTATCATCCCTTAGACAAGGAAGCATCACACAATGTCATAATTCACAAGGTTGAACAAAAGGTACAAAATTTCTAAATCTTTCTATTGTTCAATTTTAAAACTTTCAGTCATCAGTGCACTAAAACAAAAGTTTTGTCACATGGGAGCAGTAGACTTTCAAAAATCCTCTTGTATATATTTTGTCCAATTGCTACTATGAATATTCATGAAACAACCCAGTACTAAATTTTAATAGAAAAAATTATAATTCACCATTCTCATTTGCCAGGGTCAGTGTTTCTAGTTTAATAGTCCACACCTCCCAAGGTATACACTCCGCCATAAATGGCCATCGTGCCCGCTTCTTCTGATAAAATTCCAAGGAGATCTGGAAACAAAAGTCCAGGTCACCTTAGTATTAAAGTTGGAGGTTTAAAGTAGATTTTGCTTGTAACAACCTAGCAGCATCATCTATTATCTACATAAAAACCATTTTGTAATGTGTGTACCAATTCAGGTTTGACTGAAATAAAGATGCAAAAACTTTCCAAATAATAATGATAATACAAAGAAAAACAGAAAAGAAAAACCATGTCCTTCCAGTGGGAACCAAATCCTGTAGAAATCACTAGCTCTCATTGGCACAAATAATATTGTTGAGGACATAAATGGCTTTTACTTGACAAAATAAAGGTGGATCATGAGACTGATGGTACACAAATGCTACAATGAAGCACAAAGTGATATTATCTATTGCAGAAATGGCCATTTAACATACAATTTTGTAATGTGTATATGTTTATCACTAACCTGGCCACACCCAGGACCCTCCCTTAACGTATCCCTAAAGGTACCAATCTCCCTCTGTATGGAGGAGTCCAGGTCCTCTGATGCAGCTCGCACCTGTAAATGGTATACAATTTCTAATATAAGTGCCAACACCAGGAGTGTCGTGTAAACACATTTTTATATTTTCATTTGCATGACATTTCTGTTAGATAAATCTGGCTGACAGAAGTGAACATTTATCAGTTAGCTACTCACATGACCATCATGTGATAAATAAAACTTTGGCCAGACAAATTCAGAATAAATCTTTCCTACAGTGTACGGTGTATACATATAAATAAACTCTGATCAGTTTTCAAACTTCAATCGTCAGTGAGGTAAAACTATTTAGAATTGATATACACTGTATATTCTATTTATAACAACTTACATAAGTGAAGTCAAGGAAGTCACAGTCGACATCAACCACACCCACTGTGCCTATAGAGTAACTTCCTTCTTGTTTGTAATGGAACTGGAAGTAAAATGTAACACAATGGTATAACGAAATAGTCTTATGTTTAATTTTAATTGTTGAAGCCTGCAATAGCAGTTACTACACTAACACAATATAGTCTTATGTTTAATTTTAATTGTTGAAGCCTGCAATAGCAGTTACTACACTAACACAACATGTCCATAGAAACATAGTAAATGACCAAAGGCAGGTTTGCTGCTACCATAGTGTTGAAGTTAAAAGTTATGTGATTACATGAACAATGCCCATGTGAGCCTTTTGTACAATGTACCAAACAAGGTTTATCATACATTTTAATTTCATTATTGAGTATTCTGGCTTTTAAATGGTTGAAATTTTTTTATGTTAAAGTCGCAACCATAATATACTTTTTTGCATGTTATTTGAAACAGTCCTACTTGTCATAATCGTATAACATACCTTGCCAAGAGTTCGATGGAGAAGCAGAGTATGAAATACACCTACAGAAAAAAAGTAATATTAATTCATCATAATTTCATGGAGCTGTTTTTTCATGATTGACTTAATATCCCAGGTCATTATGTCACATCATGTAAACATTATTCAGATTATCATATTAAATTCTGAGAAATTATCAATGACAATGGAGTATTTTCAGTTGCTTCAGAGGTAAAGAGTCCCATGGGTTTTAATTTTTAATTCAGAATTAAAATCAAATGTGCCATATTGATGTATTGTTAATATACGCCTATTGATAAAGTTGGAATGAACATAATTAATCTTATGTACTTACTGCTGACCACTTCCTCTATCTGTCTTCCCTCTACGGACTGAAACAAGAAACAAACACCCCCATTAACTTCTGAGAATTTCTTACTTTTTTATTTATTTATTTTTTTTTTTTTTTCAATTTCAAACTGATAAGTGGATTTATATAGATACGCATACCTTTGAATTGGTGGATTTTTCCCGATAAAATGCCTCCTTTTTTAATGAATTGCAATAATAATGATTACATACAGATTGAGCTCACTCGAGAGAGCCTCAAATATCTAGCTAAGATTAGGATAGTACAGCAAAAAATGCATTTGATCGAACAGCTGGCAAAAAAAAACTGCGCAGGTCATAACAAAGGATCGCGCAGTAAACTGGAGTGACAGATGACCGCGAGACAAATCTACAGTTTACTTAATTAACACAATCTCAGAATATACCATACTTACAAGTTCAAACACCTGGCTTCTCGCATTCATATTGCCATATCAGAGAGATGATTATGTATAAAGCATGATGAAATATAACCATAAATGTCTCGCTATTTTTATCATTTACACATTAAGATCAACAATTATCAGCCGGAAACCAGTCGGGTTTGTTTGTCGTAAAATAAAAATAACAAAATTACGAAATTACAAATTTACAAATTATAGGTAAAATATCTAAAGAATCACAGTGATCTACTTTAGATTCAATAACACTTTGAAAGTCAAAATCAGCTAGCATCACTTTATTACGACACTGGATTGTACCAATATGAGTTATCTCCCCTATAGCACAGGCGCTTATAGTTACCCATTCAGTTTCATCTAAATTGTACAACAATTTTTTTCAGCTACGCAAAGCAACTTTTAAAAAAACATAGGAAAGACTTGAAAAATTAGGTATCATGGAAAAAAAATCACCAAAAAGCCTTTGAATATGAAAGCACAAATAATGTCTGCTATTGATTAACTAACACAGACTACGTTTCCTGGATGTGCATGTATATTTAGTAATCAGTTTTAATAAGGCTCCTTCGTATGAGACATGTCGTTAATCTAGGTAGGTGTCATCATAATGTACCATTGAAGAAAATGTTTGTTAAACCAGGAAGCCTTTCTCAGTCTCAATTATGCCAGCTAAATAACTAATTTACTCATGAAATGTAATTAATAGTATGTGGATTTTAAAGAACTTTTAACAATCCTAGAGACACAGCCTTCTGGTTTTTTTTTTTTCTAAAAAAAATTATTATCCTACTCTGTACACAATCATACCCCATTCTAAAGTGACAGAACGTTCTCTTGTTACGAGAGTGCTCTAATCCATGAGAAATGAATGGGGTTATAATCATATGGTTCTTAACTATACTGAAGAGTATTTCGAGAAAAAAATAATGTGAAAATCAAGGAAGAAATATCTGAAGGACATCTTCGTCAGGTTTGGTTGTAAGATCTTTTCGTAGACTATTGACATATCTATGGGAACTAACTGTGCATTTCTGTTGACTGACCTGTGGTTATATACATATGAATTTATGGAAGATATTATCAAAACGACATTGCAAAGCCGTTTTATTTCACTTTCAAATATATATTGATGACGTCTTGAATTTAAATAACAAAAAATTTATAGACCAAGATAAACATGGCAGATGTCGTTGATAGGTAGCAGTAAACAGTTAATTTGCATTTTTCCTGAAATTATTTGTCATGTTTGAGATATACAGGTATAGCAGATTGGTTATGAAAAATACATCATTACATGTATATATATTTATAAACTGTATAACAATTACATTAACAGTAGAGAGATGAAATTTGTGTAAAAAAAAAATTCCTCTGATTTCTGACATTTGATTGTCATGGTTACCTACTGAAAAAATGCTAAAAATGCAAAAATACTGCTAATTCTAATCCAACACTACAACTTTCTAGGAGAAATTTAATTCTAATCACCTATCTTACAATCAACAACACTGTCATGGTAACAAAGTACTTACATTTCAGCAAATTCCAACTCGGAAATTCTTCATAACATGACCACATGTAAACACTATGAAAATTTCACTTCCTGTAAAGCTAGTTTTTGGTGCGTAGACACAGATTCGAGACTGCCCAAATAGTAATCTCCAACACAAAGCTAAAATATTATCCTGAAAAAAATGAAACCCCACATTGTCCACTTTAACATGACAGGACCAATTTTAGCAAGGATTTTTTTTTTCATTTTTAATTAAAACCTTTATAATGGGGTAATCTAATGAGCAAAAAAATCACCCATGGCCACACCGAGAAACTGTGTACTGCTACCATAAAGCAGAATACGCTACCTCTTCCGGAACACTGTTGCAGAACCTTGATCCAATATTCAGAGGTTGCTTGTTCTAGAGATGTCATAATTTCATGAAAGATGCCCGCCACAGCTGACAGTTAAAGTTATACAACAGGGTTGATGAAGCCTACGGAGAAGACTGGTTGCCACCACCATGATGTCGAAACGGATGTTCGGGTGACGCAGTGGTAACGTACTCGTCTTTCATGTTAAGCCAGGGTTCGATTCCCGGAACGGACGTGAGAACGTATGGGATCACCTGCCTATGTGGGCTTTCTCTATGTACTTTGCTTGCCTGCCACAGTTAGACCCCTTGCACACTTCCATCCGGGTCAAACAAGAGTGAGTGATATAAGCTGATAGCTTGTTACGCTATACTTTTTCGTTGTTGTGAAATTTACTCTCATTTGGGAAGCAACGTTTTTTACTCACCTGATTAAGATTTACATGGTAGGTGTCTTCGTTGAAGCAGAAAACGCTTTCCCTTCCGGATACAGTCTTATTCGCCTTATACGTATTCAAGGGTATTCAGTTATTTTCTATTGGGTATTCTTTTTGCTGGCATTCTGTCCTTGTGCCATCGATATATACTTCGAAAGACGATTTTGATGGTTTTAATTTGTGGTTAAAAACAATCGCTACTTGGTGAGTTCTTCTTCATATGGATGTGTTGTGCTGCGAACTTAGATGGTTAACAGTATGATTGATTTAATCACACGATCAACATCAATGATCATCAAGTGATATGTAATTATCAATTTCTTGGTGTTTAAATGACACCTGATTACTTTAGTGATTATATACTTTTTTATTTGATTGAGCCGCATCAAGTAAAATGTAGTTTTTTAAATTCGCATTTGGAGAGGTTATATGTAAAACAAAATAATTAAGCTTTGTAGCTTTTCGGGTGTCCCCAACTCCAATAAGGCCGCCACCTTTTTCAGGTTTACTGGTGCCATTGAGCTGAAATTATGTCGGAATGCCGAGAAAATGAAATGCACAACATTGTCTTTGTGGTTTCAAGTGCAAAGATATGCAGTATTGTTCTTATGATTAAGTAATTGTTCTGACACTTTATTCATGTATAGTTCTATATAATCAGAAGACCGTCACAGCTCATCCATACCTCTTGTTATAATTATGATAATCAGCTCTGTTGACCAAGATGGCTGTACACAGCAGGTCTTTATGGAAAAGGAAATTAAAGACAAAATATTAGAGAACAAGATGTGTTGATAAAACACTATGCAACACAATTCTGAAGTGGGACATTAAAGCTGTACTGTATAAGGCATGTGCTCTTATGTTTCCATTGTGCAATAGTTAAGGCCAATGGTAAATGTTAAAATTTTAGAATTTTAAAATGTATGTCAAATGTCACGGTCAATGTCACAAGGTAAACATTTTGATACCACCAGAAAGGGCTTGTCACAAGGTACACACATACCAAATACGATGTAGTGGTTATGGACAAGGCTAAAATTGACGACAGACAAACGGACAGCACAAAAATAAAATGTCCCCGATCTTTCGATCCGGGTTAGGGAAAAATCATTTAAATGAAAAAGTATAAAATTAATTCAATTGTTTGCCGAGATGTTCCCATTTGAAAAAATAAAACAACCATTGAAATTTCTTTCTATAAAATCCTTGTCACATATCCAATCAAGGCGGGGAGGAGGGGGGGGGGAGTGTCGTTTGCTCCTTTTATTTTTCTGAACACTTCAAAGATGGACAATACACAGCTGGCTAGAAACGGATATCACTGACGAATACTCATCTTCGGATTCTAAGTCTTATTGGAAATCAATTAAAAGGCCAATTAAAACGTCTGATGCTTCCCAACCTATACCTTCCCTTGTAGACCCCGGTACTAATGACATCGTTACTAGAGATGAAGATAAGGCTGAATTATTAAATAAATATTTTGTATTATTACTAGAGTAGAAGTGCGTAACACTGATGTTCTAATTATTGAGCCTAAAACTGACAATCAAATTGGTTCAATTAGATTAAATTCGACTAAAATACAAGTTCTACAGATATTGAAGCTCGGCAATGCCTTGGGTGTGGATGGAATTAGTCACCACCTGCTATTAAATACTGCACACGCTGTTTGTACTCCACTCGAAATTTGATTTCATATGTCCTTATCAACAGGGATTTATGTAAACAAATAGAAATGAGTTTATATTATGTCATTGTTTAAAAAGGGTGTCAGACATTCTCCTTTGAAATATAGAATAATTTTATGCTGTCCAGTGTTGGTAAAGTTTTTGAAAGAGCGTTTTAAATGGTTTTTTTTTCGGTATGCGATAAACTATTAAATCCAGCAAGAGATTTTGATGTCTAATTGTAACAATAGCTGTATATTTGTATTGTAGGAATTGTTATGTCATTTAAAATGTATAAGGCGTTTATAAGTTACAATAACTTGTGCCTAATCTCTTGTCTATCTATTGGCAGTAAATATGTTTAAACTAAAACCCCAACACTTGAGGAGACGAAGCCGAATCTTGAGGAAATATAATCCCAGTTGATGCTGGGAATCCTCCATAGCGATTCATAGAACTTTCTACTCTTCTGTAACTACCGACTTTGGAATTCCCAGTGCTACATGAGGTCATCTACCATACAGGATGGTCAATAACATAGATAAGCCATACGGACAGTTGTTTTTCAAAGACACAGGTAGTCATGCTTACGTCATAATTATATTTTTATTTTGGTTGAAAACAATTTGAAATGAACAATTAATCTTGTGATAGATTACTAATCGGGATTTCACAATGGCACGAATTATCCGCAAAATGCCACGAATTCCTCTGTCTTACTTACCAGAATATATACTTGTGAGCAAGTTGCTCTGCTCCATTGTCCATATTGGATCAAAAGGTATTAAGAACTTTAATTCTGAAATGTATTTTTACGGAGATCTTTCATATATTGATATCCTGAATTGTCAAAATTGGATGTATGTAAACCATCACTATAACACTCAAACGTATGATACAATCCTCTGTTGATTATGACGATCTCCTACTTTTTTTTACATGTAACATTAACACTGTACAGGCCAGACACACCAATGTTAACTTAGTTACATTGTTGAAGTCAGTCTACAGTTTTACACGATGTCACTTCGATACTGGTGTTCTTCTTCTTGTAGCATTGCGCCAAGACTCCAACCTGAAAAATAAATATACTGCTTGAATCAATGACGGTTAAGTATATGTATACTTTTGCGTTAACATATACCAAATATTAAAGACAAGTTGATTTAGCAATGATTTATGCAGACACGTGTAATCTGCAGAGGTTCGTCTCGTTGGTTGTCCTTAACGATAGTAAGAGTACTCCAAACTAACAGGTCACCTTACCAATTTTAGTTCCTCCGGCTTTTGTTTTCGTCTGTATGTCTGTGGAGTTCGGTTTAAACCCAAGCGCCTCCAATAACATTGGCGCGTACAGGCCGTTCTGACAGTCTGAAGAGGCCCATCTCTCGTCCACTCCATACTGGTCATAGGCCTCGGACAACCGCTGTTAGACAATAATACAAGGTGACGATGCATTAATATGATGTGGTTAGTAATTAGGATATATTGCGGGGAAGTACAAGGATCATTTCATATCGCATCATATCGTCGCACTTTCCCTCTCAAATTCGTGTATGTACGATCTCTCTTTATACGCACTAACTGTAAAACATTACGACGACCCCTTCACTGAATGATCGACGTCAATGTTGCCGATGTGGTATTATTTTAAATCTATTCTTGATCAATAAGTCCACTTATATCTCAGATGAATGAGGTTTGTGACATTAGAACGAAGTCTGTCTACATACTCACTAATTTACAAAATTCCTCTGCCCTGGCCTCCATCAAGCTGGGCACCAATTCAGTGACTCCATGTTTCAGCAGCCCCAGCTCCTTCGCGGTATTATAGACTACACCCATGGCGATAAATTTCCGGTTGCCTACCGGAGGCCCGTACACGGACCCGATGGTACATGGTTTTGGAGAACACATGTACTCTGGAACTCTGTCTAGATAATGACGGAGGACGTTCCGACACTCGGAGGCGTTGCTTCCGCCTACAATCCTTACAGTCTTGTCAGCGGCTATCAGATTGTATGTGTCGTCTGGAAATAGAGAACAGTATGTATTATGATAGTACGTCATCAGGTGTCGTTTTGTTGTTTTGCTATTTGGTTTATCTGGGAAACCAGGTTGTCTGGACAAGCAAGGTGTCCAGTTTTACTTTGATAACACCAGAGAAAAGAAGCCTGATGAAAGAATACTTTTTCACAAGTGGAAAGACAATTTTGTGCCGAAGATTTATTTATTTGGCACTGACACGTTATTGCAGGCGATCGTGGTTATTTCGTTGTATCATACGATCGTACCAATAACAGAATTTCGTTCACTATATGAGCGTGACTTTGACGTAATTACCTACCAATCAACATACACGGATCCACCAGGGCAATGGCGTGTTTGTTCCGGCGCACTAGGTGGTTCCGGATGCGTGACGTCATGGTCTGTGCTCCGTATGAAAGGTAGCTGTGAGTATACACCTCATACGTATGACCCCCTATGTAAACCGGCATTTTGTCCTCGTAAATTGGCACTTCCGGGATAAAGGCGACCTGACAGGACCCGCCCCCTACTTCAATAATACCGAAACTCTCTTCCAGTGGCCTACGAAAAAACAAAACCCAAGATAATTATGAATTATTCATTCTTATGATCTACAACATCCGAAGCAACTAAAGCAATACGTATGATTCTTTACAAGGACTGCTGAACAGTACCGATGATCGGTGAAGAAACCATGAAGATAGTTTGCGGAGATCCAGGCCAGAAAACCCTCCTCCTCTCCTGATAGGATCCGTACAAACCGCTCCTGGTACAAGAACGGGTTCAGACTCGAGTTGGACATTACCAAGTGGACACCACGTAAAATAGACTGGGCCGCTGACTCCGGTAATAACCGCACACCTTGGAACGAGATGAAGTATGATGAGTCTACATTTGCAAACATCATAAACACGTGATTCCAACCCAGAATCGAGAAAAAGAATGCATATGAAAGGTTGACACGGATGTCCTTGAAAGTGCAAAGAGAATGACTTAAGGCATTCGTGAAGAAAACGTCTTTTCTGATCCATGACCAAAAATACCAGCCACACAAATCTAGGTGACATTCCTGTCACGTTACGTTATCAAAGTAAGAACCAGGAAAGTAAGATAGACATCACTAGGCGTATTGCTGGGCAAATACTATTCATTGCATATAACACTACTGCTAAAATTATAAGCCCCTCCCCAATATTTGGATGATTCTCTTTATTAGATATGTGTAACACACACCAGACACAGTTCTGCATGATAAAATGCTTCACTGATAAGGTTCTACACGAAGCAATGTCAATGACTTTTCATTACCTGCAGTCGCCATGAACAAAACGGGCGTAGTATTATGGGCTTGAGCGGGAACATTTGACGTCAGAAAGTCAAACATTGGTAGGAGGTAATCCCCCATCTCGTGTTCACGATCTGCAAAGGCTCCAACTCCTGGTTTGTACTTCTGGTATTGCACTTCCGTTATTTGTGGCACGGTTGTCTCCTGTTCCTTCCGTTTCCACGTGTATACATGAACCTTTGTACTAGTACTTCCGGCATCGAGAATGACACCGAATTTCATATCGACATCATAACCGTCACCTGTAGTGTATGCTTCTGTGGTAGTAGCATTAGACGACCATGTCTCGTTCACAGGAGCCGAGTAAGTCATATATCCAAACACGAGCAAAGCACAAACTGGACAAGACAACTGTCGCTAAAAATATTAAAGATAGAATACATATTGTTATTGCTTATAGTTCGGATAATTTTAATCAAACGTGCATAAATATCGTTATACAGGGTAAAAATACCCTATAAACATTTATATATATGTATAATGCATCACGGCGTCATTTCCTTTGTGAAGACAATGAAACGCATACACAAAGATATTTTATACTGAAATATACAATGCGAATTGTTGGTCGTAAAATCAAGTTTGTGATATATACATTTTCAGTTATCAATTTACAGAAAATATTAAGAAATATATTTCGTTTGTCATCATACAATAATATTTAGTTTTTCTGTATACTCACCCCGGCCATAGTGTTATTCAGAGAGGATACACCATACAGGCACTTACACAGTCTTCACAGTAAATTGACCAGGTGTCTCCTGTCCAATTAGCAGACTTATTACCGCTATGTTGATAAAATGTCGCTTTACGGTCACCAAGAATAACCTAGACAGGGCGACCTATTTAGTGTATAGATAATGATGAAATGATCCGCATATCTCAAGTTTATCAACAAGTTCGACATACATATATTTTAATTGAAAGAAGTACCAGTGTTCTTCACAACAGTAGGATCAGAGTTATCGCCCTTTAACCACATTAGTAGTCGTAACTTCCAATACGCCGTTCTTCCAGTTACAATTTAAAAGGTGTAAGTAACACATTCACCCAAATTCCATTTTAGACATGCAACAGAATTATATACATACACATTCGGACCGGGAGAGGACATTTAATAGTTGTGATCGCCCTCATCAGCGTGTATACTAGTATGCTCTTCATATTAGGATGAAATAAAGACAATAATTCTAGTTTGACCAGTTTCGTTCAGTTTTGATATTTTTGTTGACATTGCTATGAAATAGAATCAAAACATGTACACCACGAAACATTATACTTACCCATGTATCGATATATATGTAATATAAAATATAAAATCAAATATTTCAAGCCGAAGGGCCGTAGTTTTTTTAAGCAAGACAGGAAACGTTTTGTCACAGGGTAGATCGCAGTGTTGTCGATAATATTTTCACATTTAGGTCTATTGACTTGTACTTTCATATGCATGTTACATATAGTAACTATGGCAGCAATGTCAAACAACAGTTTCCTGTTAAATCGACAGAAAAGAAAATTAAATCGGAAAAAATGTCCATAGCGTCATTCTAATGAAATGTTACATACAAGGAAATCTATTACAATTTTGAAGAAGTGAAAAAGTCTGTACCGGAATTTGTTTTGTCACACCTGCCTACAGAATCTGATTGTTAGAGCAAAGTTAACCAATTATGATGTCAAAATAATTTTGAATGATAAGATTTTCATCTCTATAATTAGCAATGCTTTTAAATATCAGTGTATGGGGATTAAAGGACTTGGCATACATCATCTACCGCCCTTCCAATATGTGTTACCTGGTTTTTTGATGTGGTAATTCTCCATTGAGAAATAATCCCGGGAAGTATAATGTTTGTATTAAAAAGTATTACTTGGTTATCTGAAATAAACTTACGTCGCTGACTTAATACGTGTACCAGTCCTGTCTGAAAGCGAAGTCACGCGGAGAGTAGAAAAATCTACAGCAGGTGATTCAGTCTAAAAATAATGACAAGATAATCAGGAGTCCAGGGGCTTGCCAGGGTAGATGGTATGGGGGTCTCCGCCCAAACAAAAGCTGGAAAAAAATCTGGATGGTGTGGCAAGTTATTTGCTTTATAAAAATAATATGTATGCTTGTGATATCCCTCGCCATCACTTATCGCTATATTTTGCAAAGAGTGTTAGGGATCATCATCTTCACAGATAAATTCACCCTGCCATAGCTGTTTAATCAAGTTCAGTACTGCACCATCGATACGCTGAACATCACCTCTTGGATTTTAGAAAGTCTGTTTCTTGTGAATGGAGCGAGGATTTATTGTTGTAAATTCTGTATGTGCATGTGTATAGGCTTTAGTCTCTAGCGTTTGATGTTCAGTTTTGGATCCAATTATGAGAAGAGGTCTACAATCAAATGCATGTACATTAGTTTTCGATAACGGTTATCTTACCGAATTTCATACGTAGGGCCGTGAAAATGAGTGAATAAATAAAGTGTTTTTATTGAACCGGCAATCTTTACGAAATCCTGGAAACTTTTTATAACTGAACTTTTTTTTTTTAATTTGACACAGACTTAGATGTATATCCAGAGACGAATAAAGGTAACACACACAATGTAAAGCTGTCTTATGTTTGTTATTGTTTTGTTAGTTTTTCTAAAAAAAAAACCTTCGTCTGTTTAAAGTCACATATTGATGATACACATTTATAAATATCAAACACGAGAAGTGTACGTATGGTGCTATTTTGATGTATTGCAGAAATTATAATTAAACGGAACCATTCTCGTTTTCTGTAAATTCAATTTTCCCATTATCTGTAAATTTGCTTTTCAATTATCTGTTAACATGTGTCATACAGATTTTTGTGACAACAAATAAACATTTAAGACGTGTACCTATTTTGTCCGCAAATTCAAGTTCTGTCAACTTAAAAATATCAATGATTTGCGGAGAGTGTAAAATGTATGGCAAGCTAAAGCGAAAAAAAAAGTCATTATTTATGGATGATCTGATAAAGAATCATTTTTAGGCTAAACATAACACAGTTACAGTTTCAGCCTAATGTTATGTTCTGTTAATGGCTTTCGGGTCAAACTTTGATAACAGAATGTTATAAAAGTTATTCTTCAACACATTATTATGGATCGGTATCTAAGTCTATGACATTATCAACATCTTTGATGAGAGCAATTAATCATGTGTTACTTGACAGCCAAGTTTTATAAGTATGTTTGAATTTTGTTCAATCATTGTGCAATAACTAGCGTAGAAGTTTGAAATAAGTTTTTCAAGATAGTGGCCATATTGGATTTTGGATCAATTCAAATAATAACACTTGAGACTATCTCAGTAGGACAGACCTGATTTAGCTTAATCTGAGTGATGAAACTCAGTGGCTTTAACAATCATCTAACCATAAAGACTGCCAATCAATGATCAGTGTTATCAAATAATAACTGGTTACAGCCATCAAAATCAAAGGTAACCAAGTGTTTGAACATAATCAAGATCAATTCTGTTGTATACTTATCACATCTGTATACATTTAGATGATGTTCTATGTTATGTTTGAGCATTAATTTGACAATATTAAATCCAAAAATTGAATTTTTTGAGCACTGTTCAAAAGTAAAGAATTCTAGCATTTTTCAGAATTTGAGCTGATCATGGTATGATCAATATCAAGCTGACCTGAGGAATGTGATGAGTTAATGACCCTGAATGATATATAGTAATCATGGTAGTGGAAACATATTGTAAAATGATTAAATCAATTCTGAATTTCAGTAGTAAGGGTAACACTTCCTTCATTTTAGTTTCTCAATATTTCCACCATATATCATCTCAGTGGCACCAGTGGAACATGAGAGAAGTTTAAAATGTTTTCAAGATGGGGGCCATATTGATTTTAAGACTGACTGGCCTGAGAATTAATAACACTTTGTCCAGACCATCTTGGCATCATTTTTGGCAAGTTTGAGCTAAATCCTAATATTGAAACATGAGAATTACAGGTGTTGTTGAGAGAAGCTTAAGACTGGCCTGGTTCCTATGATGATGTTTTGAAGACGTTGTGATTGTATAACATCCCCACAAATTTTAAGTTAAAGGACACCAGAGAAAGTGAAGAAGAAATGATTTTCAAGATGGCAGCCATACTGGATTTCAGGCTGACTCAAGAGATAACAACGCTTGGTCAGGACCATCTCTAGATCATTTCAGGCATGTTTCAGATGAATTCCAGTGGTAAAATCTGAAGAAAAGGTTACACTTGACATTGAATGAAACACAATGACTATAGGTCATCCTGACAATGATCAGTGGACTGAAAACTGAATAGTGGATGTTACAGGACTCAATACAACAGAAAATGGGGCACTGTTCACAGTTACCTTATCATAAAAATGTTATTATATATCGAGCATATGTAATAAATATTCTCACCAATGGTGACAAATAGAAGTAAAGAGATGGTAGATAAAAAAGGATTTAATAAACAAAAGCACTTGTGTGATTAATAATCCAGTAATTATTATGTTACAAATAGAAAAATAACATGCACAATACAAAATTGTTAAAATACTTGATTTAATAAATAGAAACAGTCCAGTGTAAAACCATCCTCATAAACCAAACATGTACATAACAAATAAAGTATAATATCTAGAGAACAGACTTCTGACATTACTACATCCTACATGTTACGTTAATCCTGATATTCCAGGGTCCAAATACAATCACTTTCACTCTCTACACCCCTGGAACATGTCATGGCAAAATTGAAGGTTACATGTGTGACACCTTTTGGACAAAACCAAAATACTAGATCGATCATTTGATGAACATAAAAAAACAAATCTCAAGGTCAAATATTGGTATCTTATACTGGCTTTGAAGCTGGGTATTTCTCCTTTGTAATCTTGTAAAGGAGCATATCAGCCTGTGATTAGTCAGTTTATTTATCCTAGAACCAATCAAATTACATCACTTGTACCTTCAATTTTGCCCCTGTTCCAGGGGTACAGAGAGACACTGTGATCGTAACCCCTGGAATATCAAGGATGTGTTATTTGGGGATTCTATTGTTAAATTTAAACAGAAATCACATACTCACACATAGCTCTATATATATATAGCCTAGACTGTGTCAAATACATATAACCTAGAGCTGAGGTACAAACCAAGGTACTAACCAATGTTTCGTATACAATATATTACATTCATAATCTTAACCAATGGGCTATTTCGGTAAATAAACTTTATCATCATCATGATCAATGGTAATTTGGGATACTAAAATTCATTGACTATATAGGAGACTGAATGAAATGAGGGGGCGTGATCAAATGGATAATTTAAGAAAAGAATGCTAAAATAACCATATGTTTTGTAACCCTTTTTCAAGATGCCAAAGTATATTTCAATGATACTGATGGTCATGATATCAAAATAATGTTTGCTTTTGATATTATGGTTTTCAAGAAATTGTGTTTAATTTTTTTTTTAGTAAATTTGACCCTTTTAAAATTGCAGGGCATTTATTTGAGGAAAATGTGCAGCACTTCATTCAAGGTACCTGCTTGCAAATCATCATGACCCCAGTCTTCTGAAACTTAAGATGATTCTTGAACTGTTTTAATTTACTAATCTCTAATGTGACCTTGAAAATAGGTCAATTTATTTTAAGAGGAAACTTCACAGCACTTCATTCAATATATTTCCCTTCAAATTATCAATACTCTAGGTCTTTTGGAACTTATTAAAACATTTCATGAAGATTAACAACCTATAAGACACCTTTGATCCTGATGATGAGTCAAGGTAATCTTCTGGTAGAATATTAAGATTTGTGATCTTCTGTAACTTGGGAAGATCACTCAATTTTTCAGACATGTTTCACACTTGTGATCTTGAAAATAGGTCAAGGTCATTCATATGATGGGAATTTGAAGCACTCCAATCTTCGGTACCTACTGGCATATGATCAGTATTTTCTGAAATTTGAGAAGACAATTATGAAACAGATTTTAACCTATTTTGCTCTTGTGATATTGAAATTAGGTCAATGTCAGTTATAAGAGCAAAATTTAATAAATATCAGTTATGTGAGAAAAATTTATAACAGTCATCTCAGGTACTTCCATGCCTAATATCAGTACTGAAGGTCTTCTGGAACTGAGAAGACAATAAATTTTTTAATCTAATTTACTGCTGCGACCTTCAAGATAGGTCAATGTCATTTACATGGGGAAAGATTGCAGCTCTCTATGTCAATAACCTACTGCCAACACATCACTACCATGGGTCGTCTGGAACCTGATAGAAAGAATATAAAACTTTTCAAACTTCTTTTCCTCCTGTGACCTTGGTCATGTAAATCATGGAATCGGAACATCTCATCCCAGGCATCTGCTATCCTAATATCAGTAACCTGAGTCTTTTGGAACTAAAGATCCTATTTTACTACTGTGACCTTGAGAATTGGTCAAAGTCATTTATATGAGGAAATGTTAAGCTCTTCATCTCAGGTGCCTACTAGCCAATTTTCAGTACTCTGGGTCTTCAAGAACTGGAGATGATTAGTGAAGTTTTTAACTTACTTTACCCTATGACCTTGAAAATATATATGATGAAACCTTACAGCACGCCATCAAAGGTACCTACTGACCTAATGTCAATGCAATGAGACTTCTGGATCTTAAGAGGAAGATTGTCAAATGCTTTAACCTATTTTACCACAGTGACCTAGAAAATACTAAATGGGTCAAGAAAATTTATGAGGAACATTTGTATCACATCATGTCAAGTACATACTGGCCAAACATCAGTACCCTAAGTCTTCTGGAAGTTGAGAAGATTATCAAAAGTGCCTTTACAAATTTGACTTCTGTTACCTTAAATTGGTCAAGGTCATTTACATGAAGAAACTTTGTACTACTCTATTCTAGATACCTACTGACCAAATATTAGTACCTTACATCTTCTGAAATTACTATGAGAAGAATATTCCTATTGTTTTCAATATGGTAAGTACTTTTTTTTTAATTTGATAAAATGATACAGAAAGCACAATGCTGTCATTTTAGGTTAATAGCAGCATATGGTAATTTGTTCTTGTAGAAATAGAAGTATCAAGCTTTGCTTACTCGCTATGGCATAACAATTTTGTAACTGTTTACCTCAAGTTAAAACATAATTTTAAACCACGATATGCCTTGTTGTAGTAAAATAAATAATGAAATTGACACAATACATATTCAATAATATAACCAATATAAAAATGCAGCTGATTCAAATAAATTCTCTATTAGAGTATTTATCATCCCTATCAAGATAAATGCATACACCTATGTGATGATTAAATTTGCATATAGCTGGGCGTAGACAAAAAAATATCCAAAAATACATAACATATTGGTGATTACGACTTTTAAGCTGGCTTCCATTTGTACCCCAAGGCTTCTGACACTTTGTCCTGCATTTCTTGTTTTCGCTGTGAATCAGGGTGTACCGACTGATGAAACCTTGCAATTCCAACAAGATAATATTGGCCATCTTCCCCAGGGGCAATAACTCTGTCATCATCATCATCATAGGAGGGTACATTCTGGACTGTGATACAGCTATCAAGGATAACAAAATCTTTCCAAAATGTGCCACGGAGTTGTGCCAATCTTTCAACTGATTCACAGCTAAGAGATCCATGGTATACCAACTGATTCAGATTCGGGGATCTCACTGCAAGGGAGACAACTTCATCTTCTTTGCATGATGGATCACAATAGCATGCAAATTTCTTCAAACTTTTGTGGTACATATCATTCAAAGCAGAAACAATTTCTGAGTCACATTTTGAAAATTTCAAAAATGTGATTGCAGTAAGTGGACATTCTGTTTTCAACATGGATGCTAATTCTAGATGGGGAGTTCTGGCTAATATTGTACATTCCATCTCCACCTCTGGATTGGCTAAAACAAACTGTTTCCATAGTGATGATGCTATCTCTGGTATTTTGAAGTTTTGATTTTGTGGAGTGAAGTGCACAAAAACCTGTAGAAGTTTGAGCTTACAGCGTCCAGGTTTAGAAAGTTCCAGTATAATATCTTTATCAAGCATGGGTGATCGTAAACTTAGCTGTTTCAGATTCCTATAATTGTGTATGAGTGGTAAGGTTGCTTCTGGCGAAGGAAGGATTGGCATTCTCTCTGACCATTCTGTAGCCTTACACCAGAACAGGCTAAGAGTCTCCAGATTTTCCAGTTTTGGGTTTTTAAGCATTACATCAAAGATGTTCAGATCTTGATTTGATAGGCTGCTTGGGTACATTGGCCACGATTTAATGTGAAAATACTTCAATCGAACAGCATGTTGAATAAACGACAACAAAGTTCCAATATCATTCTCTGATGGCTGGTATCCATCTATATGGTAGTAGGAGGTCAATCTTCCTATCTCCAAGGTCAACCTCTCCAGACGGCATTGTTTACTAAGTTCCTGCATGATTTTGATCCATTCCTCTGGGAATCTGTTGAGATATTCAGTTACAGACAGAGTAAGCTGTTTGAAAAATTTACCAAACCTATTGACAAGTTTTATGTACTTATTTGGAATATATATCTTGCTTTTGAAGGCATGAGAATAATTGTCAGTACAGCCAAACAAGTGAATCTTCATTGTATGCCACAAGCTTGGATGATTGAAAATCTCATATAGGACTTGGCAGGTTTGAGATACAGCATACTGCTGGTGGAGGGGCAGATAACTCATGATTTCCACCCAAACTACTTCTGGAAGCTGACTGAAATCTGGAGTTGAGAAAAGGACATCTTCATTGTTAACAGGAGACTGGGTTCCTTCCCTTTCAACTATAGCGTCCAAAGCATCATCTGAAGTGCAGCTGCCATATTCTTGAGCTTGTGATTTGTCTGTCCAGTCAGTAAGCTGGCCTTTAGACACTTCTTCTGACTCTCTTTCCATTTCTCTAAGAGTTTGACAGTGTTTCACTAAAATGAAAACATAATGGTTGTCAGCCCACAAATTTATATGAGTGATTTGATCACAGGGTAAAAACAAAACAACACATTTCCTAAGAAAACTATTAAGTGGTGATGAACCATGAATTTGTCTAGGAGTTTAATCAAAAGAGCATTTATTATATGAAATGGTTGCAGATTTTTGGGATATAAATGAACCCAGCTTCACATTCAATCACCAGGAATCAACCTGAGTGACCAAAGACTTTATACACCTTATACAATTATGCCCACACTTTGATTTATATCATCTCAACCATTTCACCAAAAAATTCAATAACGCAGCAAAATTCATACAAGGTTCTATATAAAATCAAAGACTTAAGTAGCTATAACTGTGAAGTTTCTACCTTTACAATCTAGAAATTCCCAATAGCTGAGGATGTAAGGCAACCTGAACTCTCAACTTCTATGTAAATAAGTTAGGATATTTCCATTAATTTAAGTTTTTTTCTTTCTTAACTTATGTACCGCTTTTGAAGGTAGTTTAGATTTCCTTAAGTTCAGGAATTTTCCTACACAAATCATACCAAATGAAAGCACATCAAAATGATACTTAAATCATGAAATATAATCCCTAAAATATACTCCAGTGGCAATATATAGATTTTGGGACGATAGTTACTGTTGCTATGTCATGTAAAAATTCATTATACAACAGACTTAGCTATATCCAAGTTCGTGATAACACAGTACAATACATATTTTTACGACAAATAACACAGGCAGTATTATTCACTTCTGGCAGTACTGCCCAGTCTTAACATGGTATTTAGATTAAAAATTTGAAATCTTACTCTGTTACCCAGCGAATATTTAGCCTTCAGGAGAGTCAGGGGAGAAATGATTGAGCTTTATAAAATCACCAATGGAATGTATGACTGGGAATGCTGTAACTTAGTCCAACTATGGGATGAGGCTGTGCAACGACACAGTCGGCGAGTCAATGCTAAAAAAAATTTTTCAAAGCGAGCTACAACTCGACTACGCAAGAACTTTTTCTCCGTAAGATCAGCATCAATCTGGAACAAACTACCGGACCATATTGTTACTGCAAAAACTATCAATATGTTTAAAAATGAGTTAGACCGTTACTGGAGGAATCATAAACTTTTCTTCAACTACAGAGCTGAAATAGCTTAACTATTATTGAATTAATTGTATAAGAAACATTGCTAATGAGAGGCACATATTAATTTAATTTATTTATTATAGTATCTTGAAACTCTAACATGTATTATTGAGTCTGGTATAGAGGACTCAAGCACGTCCTGAACCGGAAATAAACTTATCAAGGAACAACGAAAACTTACAATTCTGAAGTCAACACCGTGAAATATCCTGTATCTTCCGCTAGTTTTCATGTTGAATTTACTCCCATGAAACTTCCTTTCTGAGATTGGCATGAATTCTCAAAATAGACATGACTCTGTGTATTAACCTGTACAAGAAACTGTCAATGTTAAAAATAGCACACTGCATTGACGTCACAAAATTGCGAAGATGAAACCGAAAGGAGACTACTAAACTTGATTCCGGTCCTGCTTTGAACCCGGAATAACTCGGCGTAGTAGTTCACTATTTGCCAACAGATTCCTCGACCATATTATAACGTTAAGTTTGGGCCATATGTCATGATAAATGTTTTTATAGATTTTTTCGAGTACTGATTTGTGGCTTCTGTAAATTCATATTGGTTGAACTCGCTGTTTTTAATATATTTGCATTTCATATTCCACGTTGGTTTCTAATTTTAGCTCACAAAGCCAAACTTCCGCGCCAACTTCATACATTCGACTATGATTTACTGGAAGGTAAATAGCTTGCTATTCAAGGTGCCATACTGTTTAGTGACTATTTGTTTGTGAAACCAATTGATATCAATAATATGTTGGCTGCTCAATCGTTGTATTGTGTTCATAAGGTCTAGCGATTCAGTTTTCATTTAACGAACATTTCTACCACTGACTGGCTCTTAAACATGTCGATCACATGACGCTTGGCGTGTATCTTCACAGCTTACTGTATACAAAAAGTGGTTTTCTGTGAATAGTGATGATAATTTGAATCTGTTTCATTTTTATAATCAGTAATAAAATACTCATGATGAATAGATTATCGATTGAAATCAGGTTTATATGGTCACCTATAACTATTAAGCTGTATCACAAACATTTTCCAATTATACAAAATTATTTATCTAACCACTCATGTAAAATTGTCAATTTTTAGTACTTATAGAAAAAATAGCTGAAGTGATAGAAGTTTGTACAAAGAGATAAATAAATCCACAGGGACCATAGACCACATTGTAATAAGCAAAATAAATTCTGGTAAGAATTACATAGCGCTACTTAGAGACATATCATGGGGTAGTTTATACTTGATAAAATGTGGAATTTTGTAAGCTGTCTGCATTAAATATAGAGTTTATTGTATGATATTGTCTTGTAAACCAGCACATCTGGTGATTGACTGTGTGCACCTAAAATAGCTTACTGCCTTAATAACTATTAAGCTGGTACATATAAATATTACATTATATGTCTCTGCTACTTAGGCACCTCTCAACACGCCACCATATGTTACAAACAAAACCATTAAGATGTATATAAATGTGAGATTAATTTGAAGAAACTTAACATACTAATATTGGCTCAGAACATCTGATAGATTACTGAAAATTCATTGGTAAGATGACATAAAATATCTTCAGATGCACAAAACCCCTTTTAAAAATTAAAATGTCTAATCCTTTATAACATCAACTTATATACATGTATATTGATTATCACAAAATTCATATACACAATACCATAATACGTTATTGTAGATTAAATAACTGAGCATTCTTTTTTTCTTTAAAGATTTGCGTATCGCTGATTAGGAGGCAACAATGGTGCCCTAGTGTCTTGTATATGATGTAGAACAAATTTCATTCTGACCATGGCTGACAAAATAGCTGGTGTTGAAACTGCAGCTAAGAAGGTGCTGACCCGTGCTGTTGAGCTTGATGCTAGCCGAAGGTTTGATGAATCCGTAGTCTGCTATCAGGAAGGGATCCATCTGTTGATGGAGGTCCTCAAAGGTTTGTCAGTCTCTGGTAATTGCAAAATAACATTTGTAAAGAGAACTTATCAACCAGTTGTGGTGTACTAGCCAAATTGTGATTGTTATGGAAATATGAGAAGATGGAAACTTTCTGTTTGTAAGGGGATGATCATTTGCATTTTAATTAAACCACATAAGGCTTTAGAGAGCTTGAGCTGATACATCACCAAATCATATTCTGATTGTGAAAGGTGCAAGAATATAGCAATTAATTCTGTGCAAGGAAAATATAATTGTCATGTCTGTTCTTACAATTGATTGTTGAGAACTGAAACACACAAGCCCTTCACCGAGGGCTTGATCCCAACTCTGATGTGGAAAGGTATGGTGTCATTTGCCTGTCTATGTTGGTTTCCCTCAGGTACTTTGATTTCCTTCCTCATTAAGACTCCTTGCACATTTCAACCCAGGTTGATAAGCATGATTATTATAAGCTATTAGCTTTATAATTCACATTTGTTATGCTCCATAAACATTTTTGGCTGTAGCATATACTTGCTGCCTTGTCAATAAGTCCTTTCATGTCCAGAACATAACTTAAGCAAGAATAATGAAACTTGGTGTATACATTGGTCATACTATGCAGATGTGCAGTGTACCAAATTCAGAGCCCTCAACCCTCCAATCACAGAATTATTGCCCTTTATTAGAAATTTGTGTCTGAAGCATAACTTTTACTTGCATTTAAGGTAGGATAGTGAAACTTGGTGTATACTTTGATCATACTAAAACAATATGCAGTGTACAAATGTTAGGACCTGCATCCCCTCAATCACAGTGATATTGCCCTTTGTTAAAAAATATTTTTTGTAGCTTAACTTTGTTTGTATTTAAGGTAGGGTAATCAAACTTTGTGTATACACTGACCATATAAAGACAGTGTGCAGTGTTCCGAGGTAAGGGACCACAACCTCTTAATTACAAAGTTATTTCCCTTTGTTGAAATTTTGAGTATGGAACATTACTATGCCAGCATTCAAACAAGGATATTAAAGTTAGTCATACAAAAGCAAAGTGTAGTGGAGTAAAGTATGGACCCATGACCCGTCAGTACAGAGTTATTGCCCTTTCTTAAAAGTTTGTGTCATAAGCATAGCTTCATGAAACTTTGTGTGTACATTAGTCCTATCAAAAGAATGCGCATTATACCAAATTCAGGACCTGGAATTCTTTAATTACAGAATTATGGCCATTTGTTAAAATTTTGTGACCAATACAGTTGTTTTCAGAGAGCATTCATTAGTTTCACTGATTTTCTTGTTGTAATAACACAGCAGTAAGGGTAGTATCTTGCTCTAGAACATAGCCACATCAGCATATGAAGAATTTGAGCTTCCTAAGTAACACAGACTATCTTGGGTAGGGTTTTGGAAATTTTCTTTAACAAAGTGTACAGCTCCATTTGACAGTGATTTTTTCATTGTACTCATAGGTACCAGTGACCAGACGAAAAAGAATGCAGTAAGAAAGAAGATAGAGGAGTACATGGGACGGGCAGAACAAATCAAGGTTCATGTCCAGGAGGTCAAGGAAGGTATAAACTACATTATGGCCCTTACAGGAATTTACAACATAGAGGGATGCATGCTCCCTTTCCTACTATCGTATGTATCACCTCAACAAACTTGAGTCTATGTAAACCTGTAAATTCTGTCATGTCTCAATCAGGTAATTTGGTGGACTAAATGTCTAATAATCTCAAATACTTGTTTATAATATTATTATCACCAACCTTGATGTGAATGTCTATAACTTAGGTGTCTTCTTTGAATTTGTGTTCCTGTTTGATTCAGTGTCATTGCGTTTGTAATCAGATTGATAAAAAGTTCATTGACGATTATATCTTTATCTGGTTTAGCATAAAGTACCTAATATCTAAAAACAAAAATATGTGTGTTTGGAAAATTTTAAAGAAATTCAATTTCTCTTACTGTGGTTCTTCTTGTTTTCAGGTCATCTGGCCACAAGGTCATGACCTATAGTCATTGTGTTTCGTTCTTCGTGGTGCGAGTGGGGAATCATTTCTTAAATTCAGAAAGTTGATTGGCCTCTAGTTAATATGAATGACATTGATTGGCATGAAAGGTCACAGGGATCAAATGTGTTGAAATGCTTAAGCAACTTCCTCTCATTAACCAAAAGGCCCAAGATGATGATATTATATATAATCCTTTCTATTTAATGCAGAAATGTCTGTTTCTATATGTCCTCTAGCTGGGAAGTCCCATGAACAGATCCAGATAGAGGAGTACTCTACAGGCCATGGCTATGAGAGCCTGTTTGGGAAATACCTGGATGGATTTCTGACAGAGGTCCAGATAGAAGACCCATACATTAGATCAACACACCAGGTAACAGGAAAACGCACATATAGCACAGCTGTATAATTCGGCTTTGTCCTGGCTTCTCAGAGCCTACTTTGAAAATAAGTCTGAAGCATGATTTTTTATATATTTACATCTTTTCATGAAAAAAATTGCCAATTTTGTTATCATTTATACTGTAATGTTTGTATTATTTGTTCATGCCAGGAATTTTCAGTTGTTTTTAGAGTCTAAGGGAGACGACACGTACAAAAAATTTACTTGATACTAATAATTTGGGTATGACACTCAGCTGAGACCAGAATGAAAGGGTTTTGACTGTTATGGTTTTAAGATATTTCTTGTATTCATGTTTTCCTGTACAACTGTCTTTTCTCCTCTTAACTTACCCATATCATTAATACTATGTCATAATTAATGACATAATTCATATTTCTTTTGTATTCATGCATAAAACTAAGTATTATTAAAGAATAGAATATATTTGATACGAGTAAAATGCTTAACCAATGGAATGTTATATCCATTCTGATATCTTTATCAAATCTGTGAAGTAATTCTTTATCTTGTTTTTTTGTGCTATTTACCATACTATTTCTTAGGTCAAGATTTTTCCTTATTCTGATTGGGTAAGAGATGATAAAGTAGATTGCATGTTTCTATATTTAGAACAGCCGGGAAGATGATGAACTTTTCTTATAGAATGATTTGTGATATTCCTATTCCGGCATTTCATTTGTTAAAAAGATTTTTTAAAATTTTTTGTACTCTGTTAAGAAAATAAACATGCTGATTATTATGTATTTGTCTGGATGTTCAAATGTAAGATAACACTATTTCATAAATACATACAAAGTAATGATAAAATAGCCGAGGCATATATAATATAAAAATCCAGAACCTTTAATTCAAGTCAATATGGTATTATATCAACCTGGTGGGAAAATATTGATGACGTCACCCTCAGTCAATATTTTTCTACCTGGTCAATATAACACCATATTGACCGAAATCAAAGGTTTGTAGTTGTTGAATTATACTGTATGTGGGATGATGATGTCTGTTTTAGATGTACAATTTCCTACGTTTCTGTGAGATGCTTGTGAAGAGTCAATCTCCTGTGAATAAAGTCCGTCTATATACTGCCAGAGATGAGGTAATATAATGCACGGTGAATTCATTTCAGTTCAAAAATAAATTAGCTTCTTGCTTCATTGTGTAAAAATTATTGTTTTCTTTAAAGAAAAAAAACAATGTTTTTCGATGAAACACAATCTGTATGATGTCACCAGTGGTATTATTAAGGATGTGTTTTATGATGTTTGTGACATAGACCTATCTTAAGGTATAAGAGGCCATTTCGATATGTACATGGTGTGTATGTTATTTTTGCATTCAATTCTGATACATACATTTTACATTGAATAGGACTCCCAAGTAAAATGGTTTATGATTACAAGGGTTATTCCAGTAAATATCTATCCCACCCCAGGACTCCAGGATTTGTCAGGCTATTCCAGTAAATATCTATCCCACCCCAGGACTCCAGGATTTGTTTAGGGCTATTCCAGTAAATATCTATCCCACCCCAGGACTCCAGGATTTGTTTAGGGCTATTCCAGTAAATATCTATCCCACCCCAGGACTCCAGGATTTGTTTAGGGCTATTCCAGTAAATATCTATCCCACCCCAGGACTCCAGGATTTGTTAGGCTATTCCAGTAAATATCTATCCCACCCCAGGACTGCAGGATTTGTTTAGGGCTATTCCAGTAAATATCTATCCCACCCCAGGACTCCAGGATTTGTTAGGCTATTTCAGTAAATATCTATCCCACCCCAGGACTCCAGGATTTGTTTAGGGCTATTCCAGTAGATATCTATCCCACCCTAGGACTCCAGAATTTGTTTAGGGCTATTCCAGTAAATATCTATCCCACCCCAGGACTCCAGGATTTGTTAGGCTATTCCAGTAAATATCTTTCCCACCCCAGGACTCCAGGATTTGTTTAGGGCTATTCCAGTAAATATCTATCCCACCCTAGGACTCCAGAATTTGTTTAGGGCTATTCCAGTAAATATCTATCCCACCCCAGGACTCCAGGATTTGTTTAGGGCTATTCCAGTAAATATCTATCCCACCCCAGGACTGCAGGATTTGTTTAGGGCTATTCCAGTAAATATCTATCCCACCCCAGGACTCCAGGATTTGTTAGGCTATTCCAGTAAATATCTCCAGGATAGGGCTATTCCATATCTATCCCACCCCAGGACTCCAGAATTTGTTTAGGGGGCTATTCCAGTAAATATTCCAGTAAATATCCCACCCCAGGACTCCAGGATTTGTTTAGGGGGCTATCCCACCCTAGGACTCCAGAATTTGTTTAGGGCTATTCCAGTAAATATCTATCCCACCCCAGGACTCCAGGATTTGTTAGGCTATTCCAGTAAATATCTATCCCACCCCAGGACTCCAGGATTTGTTTAGGGCTATTCCAGTAAATATCTATCCCACCCCAGGACTCCAGGATTTGTTTAGGGCTATTCCAGTAAATATCTATCCCACCCTAGGACTCCAGAATTTGTTTAGGGCTATTCCAGTAAATATCTATCCCACCCCAGGACTCCAGGATTTGTTAGGCTATTCCAGTAAATATCTATCCCACCCCAGGACTCCAGGATTTGTTTAGGGTTACAAACCATTGTTCATGATTTACTTAATACTAATATATAGGAAACTGAACCATGCATAGAAGTGATTTATTATCAGGTAGCTATGTATAGGTAGATGTTTTACTGGAATAAACCTAAGACAATTTATGTGATGAAGTTATTTGAATCTTGGTCATTATTTACATACAGAATGAAGACTCAAGGCAACAACAGCACAATAGACTGACACAGCTGACAAGGAGTTTACAGAAACACAACATTGAACTGGTTGTCGAGTATAACGACTCCTTACATGACCGAGAAATCAGGTGAGTGATGTAAACATAACTGGGGGTAAAAGTTGATAGAAACTAAGACAAAAAAGTAATAAACATCGCCAATCAATTATGTAGAAAGATAGAATAATGAAAAGACTTGTAGGCTGAAGTATAGAAGTTGAATGAGTTGTAGGTAAAATCCTTGTCAACATATTCTACTTGTAGTAAGTTACACAATAGATAATATATTTGATATATAAAGTCACTCTTTAAATCCTGGCCTTCCTTGTTAAGAACTTAAAGTATAAACAAATCCAAAATCTGATAAGTCAAGAAGTTTCAATTTCTCATTTATTATCATTTTGTGTGAGTGTATATTTATTGGAATGTAATTAAAAAAGCTCTCAAACTTGCTTATCAACTTCAATGTAAATACCACAAAAGACAATTTTTTATTTCTGAATTAAGATTCATTTTGCTGAAATGAAGGAAATCAAAATTATGCTGATGATTAAGATATGTTGGAGTGATAACTTTTGTCAACAAAGTATGTATCCATTTTGTTTCATAATATCTTATTAAATGCCTGTCAAAACATTGGACTGGATATAATATTGAGTGGTATTATCTGATCTGTCTGTAGTAAACTTTTATTGATTCAGTGTTCTCCTCCCACAGTTTTCAAATCATTTCATTCAAACTAGGTAGCTTAATCACCATAACATGAAGTTGTTGTTATCTGAACAGCATTTTAATTCAACAGTTTTTGAAATTCCTTTTGTTTTTATTTTTTTCAACATCTTAATTTTGTCAGAAGATCTCTCTCATCTTTTTAAATAATTTGTTTGAAACTACATAGGCTTCATATCTGTATAATGATAGTAAATTCCTCAGGAACATTTAGATCCTCGAGGACGTTTAGATTCTCAAGGATGTTTAGATCCTCAAGGACGTTTAGATTCTCAAGGAGGTTTAGATTCTCAAGCATGTTTAGATCCTCAAGGACGTTTAGATTCACAAGGACGTTTAGATTCTCAAGGACATTTATTCTCAAGGACATTTAGATTCTCAAGGACGTTTAGATTCAGCAATTTTTAGAAGAGTTGTTTCTATTTGATGTTATCTCCCCCAATTTTCACCTGATATATTTAATACTTAGTTTGCTACATCATCAATGCATATATCACTGTCTTCTCCACTTACTACAATTTTGTTTTTATCTTGTGTGGAGATCCTCTCCTCTAGTTTTACCTGTCAGACAAGGTTGTCTTTATTATAACATGTAATTCTGTTGCTTGATTAATTTTCCTTTTTGTTTTCACTTCAGTACAATGCTACAAAGTGGTACTCGTAACTACTTATAGACACATGAACATCTCAAGAAAATTCATTTCAACATCATCAATCAATTTGCCTGTTTTTCTAGAATACCACTAGACCGTATATTTACTTGTTTCAGGTTCAATAATGGCTGGGTTTTGAAAATTGGACGTGGACTGGATATCTACAAAGCTACAGAATCTAAATTTACAATAGGATTTTGTGACTTTGACCTTCGACCTTGCCACAAAACAACAATTGACATATTCCATACAAATTATTTACACAGGACAGACAATGTGTAGTTATCTGTGATCATGATGTCATTGGAAACGGTGTTGTTGAATTGTAATGTTTTTGTCACTGGTATATTATTGAAAGTTGTTGGATGAAAATAAGATTATGATGTAATCCTGACTGCTGTGTGTGATAAGTTACCGATGCAAATGTCATTAATTAATATGTCTTCCAGCAATGTCATCAAATTCTTATATTGTTCTGTATAATGTGACTTTAAATGTTATTCAATAAAACTATTAGTAATGCTATTTTTAGCTCTCCTGATTGAAGGACAAACAAGCTAAAATTTAGATGATTATATTGCTACAATAAACATGACAGGATGAAATGCTAACAATTTTCGTGGACGAGTATGGTAACGTTGATTCAGTTTTAAGTTTACAAATGTCACATGTTTCTTTTCTGGAAATTACATCTGAGTAACCAACAACTGGTCAAGATGAAAGTTTAGAGTGCTATGTAAAAGTTAGAAGGAGGGTTGGTAAGGGAGATGAGCCTTCTTTTTATTTCGCTAGTGTACTTTATCATCAGTTTGGATTTTTCTAGTTGGTTTTTTTATCCAAAAATTTTACTGTGATCATGTGAACATTTGGTCACATTCCGGAATAAGCCCGGGTGCTCCCTTCCCCAGTAAAACTGGCGTTATTAAAGGATGATGTCATCATATACTGTGTGTTGTGTCCTACAAAGCATTATGTTATCAGTAAAGGATGATGTCATCATATATTGTGTGTGTTGTGTCCTATATAGCATTATGTCATCAATAACTCAATTAGGTACCAGTACACAGTGGGATTTTAAACAATAAGGTAATTTATTTATGGCATCAGATTTCAAAATTCAAAAGTTTTCATGTTTATTAGTTTGTTGTCTGGTGGTTATGTGATATCTCAGAACAAACTGTTTTTTTAAATTAGGTAATCGTGATATAAATATTTACCAGATGTTTGTGATTAAGCCAACCATAGGATTGTAACAGGTATCAGGTCAGCATGGAGAATGCCATCCATAAAAATTACGCAAAGTCAATCTTTAAGATAATATGAATCAACACTGTGTATAAATCAACTTCAGGGAAAATCTTTCAGATTTAAAAAACATTTTCAAACCTCTACTTGTACCTTTTAGAAGGAAGTTATAATGAAGCAGAGAGACTTGCTCGCGTTCACAATAACTTCCCTTTTATTTGTTTCTTTTTCTGTAATGATGACATGTAATAAAAACATATCTGTCACTAATTTCACAACCTAGTTTTCTTTTAATGTTTGAAATTTTATGAAATAAAGATGGGATCTGTTAAGCCCATCATTAAAGAGAATCATGTTTGAAGAGCTCCTCCAGTTTAATGGATTATATAGTGAAGCAATAATGGTAAAACATAATACAATATGTAGCCTGTTAATATGTATTGACCCTGATTGACAAAGATCTAAGATGAGATTAATCTGCTGACAAACTCTTCTTTTCGAATTTCTCTTCGTTCTTTCAATTAGTAAATTGTCCAAAATGTCAATAGTTTTTGTTGATTTATTTATAAGTACTTCCACAATCAGTAATTTATAGTTATTAAGTAAAATATGACAGATACAAAATAAGCCAAACCTATCATCATGATTTCCATCTTTTTCATTCAAGAGTGTTTTCAGTTTTCTTATGGATATTTTTTCACCATTTTTTTTTACATATATACATTCTTTTCACAATAACATGATATTATCTGAAATTGATGTATTCAAACTCCTGCATACTTGTAATATAGGACAAAATTTAAATGAATGATCTTTTCCCATAATAGATTAACATCCTGCATAATGCTGCTGGTAAAATGTCTAGAGATATTGTTCTGCGAAGGGAAATAACTCCTGCGATCTTCTCCTTGAGCAGCAAACATGGACCAGGAATTTGTTCTGCTTATTTATGTTCCATGTGAGCCTTTCATTAAATACATGTCATATCTCTGGTTTTATTTTCATGACTGTTTATTTATATCCCAAAATAAGAATAATTTTGTTAATGAAATAAACATGCCAAATAAACATGATTACTGTTCTGGTGTCTTTTTGAGAGACTGATTGTATGAAGCATGCCGGTTTCTTTTTACAGTTGAATCATGTCTGTTAGACACTATTTGTAAATTACAATGTTACCTTACTATTCAGAAAATTATGATTTGGAATCTAGATGTAACAAACATACAGGGACAATATTTTCTGATAATCAACTGTGTTAGGCAGGATACCAGTTTGATGTATGATAACGTACATAAGGTTTAGATGTACGAATTACAATGAGTATTGACTGTTTTGTATCACATATCTATGTTTTATACATCAGTTGAAATTTCAGTTGAGTGCAATGACAGTAAAAATTAGATTTAAGTTAATATTTTGTTATTAACCATGGTGATTGATGATAACTAATATAGCAGTCAGCTCTCTTGAAGTTGTTATTGACCAACTATTATTTCTTAATCTGTTCAAATTTTATTGATTCCTTCCCCTTCCTCAGCAGTAGATCCTCACCTCACTTCCACTATCCCAACACTCCTCTGTGACATTGATTCCTCTCCCTCCTCAGTACCAGTTCCTCATCACACACCTGTCCCAAACTCCTCCCTAACACTGATTCCTCTCCCTCCTCAGTACCAGTTCCCTATCACACACCTGTCCCAAACTCCCTAACACAGAAACCGTCCTCAGTACCAGTTCCCTCACACACCAGGTCCCTATCACACACCTGTCCCAAACTCCTCCCAAACACTCGATCCCTCCTCAGTACCAGTTCCCTATCACACACCTGTCCCAAACTCCTCCCTAACACTGATTCCTCTCCCTCCTCAGTACCAGGTCCCTATCACACACCTGTCCCAAACTCCTCCCTAACACTGATTCCTCTCCCTCCTCAGTACCAGTTCCCTATCACACACCTGTCCCAAACTCCTCCCTAACACTGATTCCTCTCCCTCCTCAGTACCAGTTCCCTATCACACACCTGTCCCAACACTCCTCCTAACACTGGATCCTCTCCCTCCTCAGTACTAGATAACTATCACACACCTGTCCCAACACTCCTCCCTAATACTTATTCCTCTCCCTCCTCAGTACCAGGTCCCTATCACACACCTGTCCCAAACTCCTCCCTAACACTGGATCCTCTCCCTCCTCAGTACTAGATAACTATCACACACCTGTCCCAAACTCCTCCCTAACACTTATTCCTCTCCCTCCTCAGTACCAGGTCCCTATCACACACCTGTCTCAACACTCCTTCCTAACACTTATTCCTCTCCCTCCTCAGTACTAGATCCCCACCTTTCACCTGTCCCAACACTCCTCTCTAACACTGGATCCTCTCCTTTCTCAGTAGTAGATCCCTATCGCACACCCATCCCAACACGCCTCTCTGACTCTGTACTGGTGTAAGGTGCTAACAAGCCTGATTAATGTCTGATTTTGTCATGATTTACGTTTTCAGTGTTGTGAACTGTCAGATCCGTAATTACTTATTTATACCTTCCATCGTTTGGTATTTTTAGCATTACTTATTCATGCCTCCCATCGTTAGGTATTTTCCCAGCCACTACTTTGACACACGCACTCCTAAAGCTATCCACCATTATCCTCTTGACTCTATTGATCCTGAGAATTAACACCAGCCTGTCAAAGACTTCAGTAGATTTACCTTTATTTTGAGCTATTTTTTAGTAATCAAATAATGCTTTAGTTATCTTTTGTGTTAACTAGTTGTTAAAACCTTTGATTTGTACAGATGCACCAAATTTCTATAAATGATGAAAAGGGACTTCAATTACATGTACTTTATTTCAGAGAACATAGTGTTTTGAGCATGTATACTAGGTGGCATTTTTTATTATCATTCTTATTTTTCTTTAAATGAAAAGACTATATAATGCAAACTCACTTATATGGCACAAAATTATTTTACAGTGTTATCACTTTTTGGTAAATTTGTGCACTGATAAATTTACACATACACATAGTGCAATAATTTTAGTGCTAAAATAAGGATGTTTAAAGTACAGTGTCTAAACCTTACAACAAAGCCTTTTCTTGGTTCGAAATGTCCTTTAAGATTTGGAAAGTAGTCTAATGAAATATGAAACACTGATAAATTATATTGAGTACTTTATAATCGTTAATAAGAAGCAACAAAACAAGAAAACACATATTTGATTTCAGTTTGAGTTTTATAATTTGGGACACATGTTATTAAATTTGTCACATCATCATAAGAAAATGAGAAAAAAAAACAATTTCTTAAAATAGGAAATCATTTATGATGAAAGGAAGTCCATGGAAGAAAACAGGTGCCCCTGAAAGAAATAGTGGAGCATATGTGAGAAAATGTTTGGATGAGATGTACTTGAAGGAAAGTGTGTGTGGTTCCTGTGGAAATCATTGATTACTCCAGAAAGAAAACGGAGACTTAAACCATAAGGAAAAAACTTAACAATAAATGGCAACAGACTGTCTACCCAGGGGGAAAACCATGATAACATTGAAGACAAGAATGATAATAATAATAAACTTTACTTATTTTACAACAATGGTGAAACTAAGTTTTTCCAACTTATATTAATGACTTGTTGGCCTGGATGGTTGTGTGCGAGGGGTCTTGCTTTTGGAGGAAATTGGAGTACCTGGGGAAAACCCACATGGTCAGGCAGGTGACTCCATTCCACATACCATTCATGAAAACATTAATATTAGTCCTCTCAAAGGAAATCACTGAGAAAATCAGCTGGTCATCTAATGGAGATGACAGATTCTGATTCAGGGGGGAAATAGGTAGATTTCTCAATCTAAATGGGAACTAATTTATATCAGAGGTCTGTGTTAGTGATGTTACAGTATTTCAAGTTAAGATTATTTGTTTAATCCTGAATTTTCAGAACTTGCTGTTTAGGATTCTTCTTGTATATATATTCACTTCCATAAATCTGCAGTTCAACACCCCTTTTTTTGTCATATAAAGTCTTTGTTGTGATCTAATAACTTTAAATGTGGAAAAATAGATAATCTATTGTATTTCTGAATTTTCATCCTATTACAGGCTAAACCCTTTTTGAGACAAGACTTCCTTTTTGTGGTGCAATATAAAAATGTTAATTGTTAAAACAATCTTAATTTCATGTTCGTCCTGTTTGGCAAATCAAATTATTAGAATTCAACATGACATAAGATTGTAACACCAAAATGACTTTGTATATTTTTCCCTAAATTTCGCATGTTTTTGTATGAAATATCTTTAAAATTCTTAGGATATATATATAATAATATAGATAAATATGCATCCTACATCTTTCTTGATTGGTGCATGCACTTTAAAAAAATGACTTAAAGTGTCATAAAATGATGAGCGATTGTTAGAATTGTTTGTAGGTTTTCCCGTGATTTTGAATTTCTTTTTGAAGTGTTTTGAAGTTACTTTTCTAATTCATTCCATTTTGACAATCTTCTGATGTTAACACATAATATGAATTATAGTTATGGTTTAAGATTTACTATGATGTCAAGGATTTGTTTAATTTCCCTAAATTATCGTTATTTGTTTATTTCAACACATTTTGTGCTTCTATTACAAATAGGATTAGCCTAATTGATTCAAATTAATTTTTTTGTCTGAAATAGATTTTTAAATTAATAAAATGGAAATGTGAACATTTGACTCTGCTACAAATTTGCAACAACTTTCAGGGTCACTGCTTGAAAAAGCTACTTAAAAGATTTAGAAGTTAAATGTATTATGTAGCTACCATCGACTTATCAGCACCACACACCACTTGATTTTTAGCGAGACTGATAGAGATCTACTTGGTGATGGGGATAGGAATTCTGAGACAGTGATGATTAATATTATATCTTGAGGAAATCCCCAGTTTAAAAAATTACAGTGTTATAGAAATGTGTACTTCCTTAGTCCCACATTTTGTAAAGTGAATACATACACAACTCTCTAATTATCCAATTTCCTAGCTGTACCTGTACCCGTGAAATAGGAGAGACTTTCCAATTGAATGTTTTCACTATCATATTTCAGCGATGGCAACATTCTCATGGAGGTGCTCATTAGAGTTGACAAATTATAGGTAAAGGACTTACAAATACGGTCATTACTGGACCATAAACCCCCTCACTGTCCTATTTAATAACTTGACCAGTCACTCCCGTCTTTTAACATTTGTTATTTTTGGCAAATAAAAATTATTGTTCATTCGTTCGGAAGTCATCTGCTTTATGATGTGTAATGAACATGCATTGTTCAGGGTCATTCTTAACCTTATCTCAGACAGGGGTACACTTTGATCTTTTTTGTCCCAAACTGTCTGTTGAATTGTCAGTTACAGTTTGACAGTACTACCCAGTGTGCCGTAAAACTGTCCCAAGGAGATGTTTCGGTGACTAAAAGTCCTGTGGCTATAAGAAGGCGTGGTCCTTTAATTACAATGCCAGACCCAGATGCAATGACTTGTGAACACTGCTGGGATCCTCAATGTTTCACTTTCCAAAACACTGCAAGACACCTTCTCCTACTTTTGTTGCTGAGGAAACGACCAAACTGTTTGTTTTTGGCCTGGCTAAAGATGTTTGAATACTGGGGGTGTAACAAGTTAACCAGTTTAGCCTGGGACAATGTTACTCACCTGCTGAGGGGAAAGTCATTTTATTCTAAAAATGACCTGTTAATCAATCAATTCTATTGCTCCTGTTGACCCAGAAATGTTGTACATATGACCAACAGCTGTTTCTGTAGGTCTTCAATGGCATTTTCATCACATTTATCTGTATCTAGGAGCTTGACCAATATATTGTTAAATCTTCTTATAGAACCACTGAACAAGATAGCATTCAGTAAGCAGGTCTTACCATGAAAATATGCCTGTACTGGGTGTATGTAAGAAATCTATTTTTAGATGCCAGATATTCTTATTTTCTTTTTTTCACCCATTTTTTTTATTATTCTGTTCCTGTAACAATAGCAGGATCCCACCAGATATATTTCAAAGACATTTCATTTAAA